TAATATCTTGGGTCTCTCTCTCTCTCTCTCTCTCTCTCTCTCTCTCTCTCTCTCTCTCTCTCTCCCTCCTCTCTCTCTCTCCTCTCTTTCTCTCTCTCTCCCTTCCCCCCCCCACACCTTGTGATCCAATGTCTTCCACAACCAATTCACAAATTTTTGTTTCATTTTGGGTAAATTGAAGGAAGGTCATCTGTATGCCCCTTGGTTAGGAGAAACAATCATTCAATACCAACACATGATCAGGACCATGGACAGCAACATGCAAATCCTCCCTTCCCAAATCCACACTCCTGTAAAAGCTTTATATGTATAAATGTTGTGCTAGCCCTGAGGCAGTAGAGATTCAAGTCAGAGAGTTTGGGAGGGGGAAACACTAGGGGAAAAGTCAGGAGTGCCTACGTAGCTTCCTGCCCAGTCCTTCCCACCTTCCCTCACTCCTACCCCCATCTCATTGACCAGAGAAGTTTCTCTCCTCAACTCTTTCTTAACCATTAATTAATGTCCAGCGTCCACCTCTATTACCAGACCTTGGAAAGAGTGATACACTCAAGATGATTTCTCATAATTTGACCAGAATAAATGTCTTCAGTATTTTTGCATCCTAATGGTTTTAGGTTTGTTTTCAATTCAAGTGAATGAACAAGGCATAATTCAGCTCATTTGATATATTGCCAAGATTAATTAAGAGGAATGCCTAGACTCCTGAGTCACTGGATCCTGTTTGTTTATTGCTCACCTCAGATGTAACTTCTTCTAATGGTTCTGATCATTCCTTCATCTTCATACTCATTTTTTATATAGTGACATTATAGTCCAAGTCCTTATTTGGTAGATAATTAATTTAAAGCCCAGAAAAATCATGTAATAACCTCAGTTGCATGAAAGATTAGTGGAAGATTTGGGCATGGATTCCTTGTTTCCTCACCCCACACCCACTCTGATGTACTCTAACACATTACTTCTTTGAGCCATGAACATTAATCAGATACAAGATGGCTATATCCACATAGTTTATGGTCACCCTGAAAAATATTTAGCTTAACTACCTCTCAGACTTCTCAAACACATGATAGCTTTTACTTCATTACCCATAATCTGGTACTCTTTCATTTTGCTTATCATCCTTTGAAAGTAGAACTTTCGAGTATCACATGCTATCTATTATCAATGAACAACCTAGTCTATAAGCTGGGACTTAGCAGCTAGATAGTGGTGAACTATGAGCCAATTGCAGTGCTGGGACCAGGAGCTCTCATTCAGGTGTCCTGAGCCAGAGCTCAATTTTTAAAAGCCCCCTCCCTGGGCTCTGTGGTTAAATCCTTGCTTTGGCTAATGGTGATCTGTGGCAACCTGTGACCGTGTGTACTCACTTCTGCTGTAAAATGGACCTATTAGAGACTTCTTATAAATTTTCCAATTTAGAAAATTCCCAAATAGAGGACTGAAAGAATTCTGGAGTGGGCATGATTTCAAAAATAAAATTCTAGAAAATTTAAAAAACACAGTCATTTCACTCCTTTTTCTTTTTAATTCAATACAGTGTCCTGGCTATGTGGGGGATTTTTGTTTGTTTGTTTGTTTGTTTGTTTGATTCTCATTTTTGTTGTTTTTCTCCTTTCTCACTGAAGGCCATATCTAACCATATCCACCCAGCCTTCATAAGAATGCTGAGTTGTCATGCAGGAGTTTTACCTCACACTGGGGAGATATTAGTTGATAAGATCCACCTTGTTCAGATTTATTGCTTTAGCATATTTCATGCTAAAAATATTTTTTCTACCATCTGCTAAGATTAGCACTCTAGTGGTATAATAAATTTACTCACCCTGTTTCTGTGATGTAGTTTGGAACCAACTTTATACTTTATTCGGCCTAATTGAAAATAGGATAAGATAAATGATGCACTTTGAATTTCTCTCTCAGACATACCATTGTTCATTACTTCAACAGAGTGTGAGCACATCTGATGATAATTTTAGTGGTTCAGTAAGACATAAGTTCCCATGGCAAAAATACAGCATTAGCTATTGTCATCATCCAATAGAGTCTTGTAAAAAATATTTAATATTGTTGTGCCCTCAAATGAAATATTGTTTTTCATTTAAATTCAAAATTGCTGGCCATCTTTTCAAAACAGGCTATGAAAAGAAATATATTTCAGTGGAAATATGGGACGTGGTATTCATTTACATCTGAGGCTCAAACTGAAGGCCAAATTTAGAATTTGATATATTCTCAGCTTATTGGGAAATTTGGATTTCCTTCTCTTATTCAGTCTTCTAGTTGGGCTGGAGTTGTTTTGACCATGTTGAAAGAGAGGGAAGAATATTTAAGGTGTTTATTATGTTAGGCTGTTATAGATTCGTACCCTTGGGTAGTTTCCACCTACTTTGATCATGGGCTTAACTATGAGACTTGCGTTATCCAAGAAGACACCAGTAAATGTGATACAAGTAGAGGCTTTTAAAGTGTTTGCAGATTGGGACTTGGAGCAATGTTGCCATGTTAAGAAGCATGGGCTGCTGGAGGGAGGTGGCCTGGCTGACAGATGGTATCAACTGCTAGACATGTGAATGAGGCCGTAGTAGATTATCCAGATCTTATTGAACCACCCGATAACTATAACTGCATGAGTGGCCCCTGGTAAGGCTAGTGGAAGAATTCTCTGAGCTCAATCTAAATTGTTGATCCATGAAATGATGAATAAATAAAATTATTTTTATTTACTTATGACTCTAACACATTTTTAAAAAATTAAAATTGTGGTAAAATTGTAATTTAAAACCACAGGTTTCTGGGATGATTCGTTATGCACCAATAAAACATAGAACCCTACTCTACTGCTAACAAACACAGAACTTTGTGATTAGGATCAAGACTAATGGAAAGACTAAACCCTAGATAAAGTTGCAGTTATGGCTAAATGGAGGTCACTAAAGAGACAGAAATGTAATGAAAGATCAGGAGAAGAAGAAATGGGAACCAAATGTATTGCTTATTACTATTTATAAGCATTATGTACTTCAGTTTCCTCACCTGTAAAAAGGGGATGAGAAGAGCATGTATCTAATAAGGACTAAATAATTCACATAATGCACCCGAAACAGGGCTTGGCACAGAGAAATCATGCAAGAAATATAACCTATTACCATCCTGTGCAAATAAAAATCCTATGTAAATAAATATGAATATGTGCTTGACTAAGTTGAATAAAAATCTCCTTGGAGCCCTTAAGCCAAGACACAATAAACAAGAGTGATTAGATTTTGTGATTCTGGATTAGTTCACAGGTGATGAGGATGTCATGCCCCAGCTGCAGAGAACTGTTTATAGGTTGGCCACTGGGCCCTTTCCAAATTCCTCTGTAGAAAGGTTAGTTTTAAATCAAGTTAACAATGCAGCTGGAGTTAGGTTTTCAAAAGAAACTGTTCACTCCCCAAGTTACCAATTTGACCAATCTTCATATACCTTCAGACATCAGAAAAGAAAAATAATAACACATATTGTAACAGAAGAAATACCCCTACCTAGTCCTATTTTACATGTCTGACCATCTTTCCAATCTAGAAGGAGCTATAAAACAATTACTATGTTAAGTAAAATTATTGAAAATAAATAAAATCTAGGTACTTAGACGGACAGGATGGTGACAAGGAGATGGCAGGAGTCTGTATTTGAGGACGAGTCTCTGAACATAGACATATTCAGTGTGGAAAGAAGGTTTCCTCTACATGATGTTTTTAGTTGCCAAAAGGTAATTTATTGTGATTTATTGTGATTATTTGAATCATGGATGTGCAGCCCATATTTAAGGGAGGGAAAATGTTACCATTTTTTTCTGGCCAGAGCCTTGAGGCTCTATTGGAATGTCACAGTGCTTGGTGAATCCCTCCTCTCTTCCTTTCTTCCTCCCTCCTCTTCGTTCTCACCTTCTCTCCTCCCCTCCTTTTCTCCTCTTTCTCCCTGCCTTCCTGCTTGCCTTCTTTCTTTCTTGTAGGTGTTCATGACTGGGAGAGAAGGAAGGTATATGTTTATTATAATGTTATCATCTGCTCGACTGTTTCTTTCTCAGTCATTAAAAAGTGAAATCAACACCTAATTTAGCCTTTCTATTGCCTCCCCTTTATTACCTCTTCAATTTGGGAAACGTGTGTAGGTGGGAGATAGAAAAACCAAATGTTCTTATTTGTTTGTAACAGCAGCATATCATGAGACTGGCCCTGGGGTCCAAAAAGGATGGGTTCAAATCCACGCACAGTACTTTATAGGAGTCTGACGCTGGGCAGACCAATTAGTGTCTTTGAGGCTCAGTTCTCCATCTGTTAAATGAGGTTAATAATTTCCACCTGGAAGAGGGTTGCGGTGATTAAACAACCTCCTATATGCAACATAAACAGTGCTCAAAAAACACTCAGGATGTTATCATTTCATTTAATAGAACATCTTTATCCACCTACCCCACATCACTTACGACTGACTAGTGTAACACAGCTGACCAGGGAGAGAGTTAAAGGCCATGTCCATGCATCAACACACGCCTTAGTAAGTGCTAATCTCAAACTTGTGGCCACAGATGCAATCGCTCTAACATCCTGGTCTCACCAATCAACAGGCTGCTTTCAACCTGTAGCTGCTTTAAAATGAAAAGCGGCAGAAATGACATTTATAATCATCATGACATGTTATAGTTAGAGAAGATGCTTAGAGATGATTAGTCCAACCTGCACTTTTTTCAAACCTATATTATCCAATACAGTAGCCACTTGCCACATGTAGCCACCAAACACTTGGAATATGGCTAATCTGAATTGAAGTGTGCTCTAAGTGTAAAATACACCCTGGATTTCAGAGTCTTAGTATAAAAAATAAATGTAAAATGTTAAATTGATAATTTTGTATGGATTACATGTTAAAATGATGACATTTTGGATATGTTAGGTTAAATAAGATATTAAAATTAATTTTGGCTTAAAATTTTTTTAATGTGGCTACTAGAAAATTTAAAATTAAATATGGGTTTGTATTTGCAGGTCACATTATGATTTTATTGGACAGCACTGTTTCAAACAAAACAAATTAGACATAGAGCTGAGAAGTGACTTGCCCAAGACAGCTCAGCTTTCATCACCAGAACACAGGTGTGATTCCAGATTCCCTAACTTGCAGTATTTCTCTCAACATGCAACTTTCTCCTGCTAAGAATTTTTTTTGAGACTGTAGAATTGGGTCCCTGAAGATGTGTGGGTCCCTGAAAATTGAGGTTTCTTTGGAAAACACTGCCAGCATCTCTGTGACCAGCTGTGCTTTTTTTTTTTTTTTTTTTTTTGCTTTTTTTTCTTTCTATTGCACTGCCTTGGAGACTGTGCTGCTGTTATCCATTTCTTGCGTCAGTTACAGAAATTGGTATTGTATCTAAAACAATTGCTGTTATTAACAGGTTAAGCTGCTGGGATGTTAAAATAAAGGCTGCCCAGCTTTAGTGCATTTTGTTGTAATCATCTCCCAGATGCCTTGTCGGAAATCAATTCAAGTTCAAAACTGGCTGGAATTGGGAGGTCAAGGCTTTGGCAGACTAAATATTTTATCTTCTGCTCATGTCTGGAGCTTTTAAAGATGTGGATTGGGGGCTCTTTTCTCATACCCCATCTGGACAAAGATGATTGGCTTTGCCATTTTGCCCAGGTTAGGACAAGGTTAAAATCAATTATAATCAATTATTAAGAGTCTTCTGTGGCCACATTGCTTAAAAGGGGATTTTAAAAGTTTCTCAGTTCTGAAACATGCATATCTTAGTTGCTACTGGAGATGTTGTTATTCCAGAATGTCAAATATAGATGTTATCAGCATCAACAGTAAATACACAGAATTTCTACATCCTATTTCCTTGATACCTATGTTTCAGGACAATGAGAAAAGCCTAAAAAGGCTGAGATAGTCATAGTTGCTGTACCAAATTGAAAAATCTTGTTATTTCTCATATGTGTTAGACAACTATAGCTATTTATAATTTGGTCACATTGTCACATTATTTCCCACAGATTTATTGAGATGCTCTCTACAGTTCTTATGTGATCATTTGCAGTGTAAAATGCACATGTGACTGCTCAATCTAAGGTAGGTTGAAAGAATCATAGATTACCAGTTCCATAGTAATTTTGAGACAAGCTCGATCCAGCCCTACATTTTATGATATGGAAACTGAGGCTTGTAGAATTTAAATGACTTCCCCTAATTCTTACAGCTATCCAAAGGGAGAATCGCATCTCCTAGTTCCAAAAAGCAACTGTGGTCCCTAAACATTCAAATGAATCTTTTCCTTGTATACAGTATGTTCATATACTTATAATTTTCTTCACAATGATTTGAGAAAAAAAACCCCTATTCATACAAAATGAATATCATTCTGAACCTTGGACCAAGACATGAACTCAATAAACAGAATATAATTTTAAAATGTTCTCAAAAGGTCACTTAGCTTTATCCTTCATCTCATTTTCCATGAATGGAAATCCCTTGTATTTTCAGGTTTCATACAGACCCAATAGCTGAGAGTTCAATATGCTGCCAGAAAAAATATCCCATTTTATTTATAGTCTGTTGAGAAGGAGAACTCTAGCAAATATACTACAATTTCTCCATAGACATGCCCAATACCAGCTACTGAACAGCGAGTGTGGACCACAGGCTTTGTTAGGAGCCCATCATTAACAAACACTACAACACATTCTCATAGCAAGCTCCTTATCCTTCAATATACTAAAAATAAAAAAAATAAAAAACTCAAACTTAATATTCCTAATTTGAGGAAAGAAAACCCATGGAATTGGGAAGGGGGGCATAACTTTGAATTTAAACACTTCTTCGTCACTCTATCAGCCAAATAAAGTCCCTTATCCTGCTCATTTACCATCCCCAGCTCATGTTGCCAATAGAACCGAGGCACGTTATGTGTAAAGCCTTTTATGAAACTAAAATTCGAGGGTCACAAGCATCATGGTTGTGTGGAAATTGATGCGACACTGCGTAGTGGTGGGTAAGAGCACAGCCTGGGTCCAGGTAGGCCTGGTTTTGTTTCTGGCTGTTTGGTCATGGTCAGATACTATACCTTCTTTGGCTTCATATTCTTCATGTGGAAAATGAAGGTTATAATTATGTTTACTTCCTGGTATTGTTTGAAGATTAAATGAGAAGGACTTATCAGAAAGCTTGGTGTACAGCAATCTCTCGATAAATCTTAACTATAATAATGATGACAAATAATAATTATTATCATTCATAATGGTAGTAGCAATAGCAGCAGCCACAGTAGTAATAAATATATTCCTATTTTTAGCATTATATTATCTTCTTTTGGATCTATATGTACACACATGGGATAGAATTGCTTCAGTGTCTGTTCGGATCAAAAATTCTGGATGAATTTTTCACCTTGGTTTATTTCACAGCAACACAATTTATATGACTGAACCCTCAAACCTTTCTCTGTGTTGAAAGACCACATTGTTCATTTGGATCAGTGGTTCGATTCTAAGAACAGTTTATTCACTGCATGTGCAGGGAAAATCTGATTCTGATATTCCAAGGGCTAATTAATTGGTAAACATTTTTACTCTTTATTTCTGCATTCGATCTAAGTTTGTAGCACATTGTATTATTATACAACAAGCTTTCAAAATCTTTGCAATCAAAAAATAATTTTACACTTCGTATGGAACCAAAGAAGACCCCGAATATCAAGAGCAATTCTAGGCAACAAAAACAAAATGGGAGGCATTAATATGCCAGATATCAAACTATACTACAAAGCTATAGTAATTAAATCAATATGGTATTGGCACAAAAATAGGAATATTGACCAGTGGAACAGATGTGAGAATCCTGATATAAAACCATCCTCATATAGCCATCTCATCTTTGACAAAGCAGACAAAAACATACGCTGGGGAAAAGAATCCCTTTTCAATAAATAGTGCTGGGAAAACTGGATAGCCACCTGTAGAAGGCTAAAACAGGACCCACACCTTTCACCTCTCACAAAAACCAACTCACGCTGGATAACAGACTTAAACCTAAGGTATGAAACTATTAGAACTCTAGAGGAAAAAGTTGGAAACACTCTCCTAGACATCGGCCTGGGCAAAGAGTTTATGAAGAAGTCCCCAAAGGCAATCACAGCAGCAACAAAAATAAATAAATGGGACATGATCAGACTACAAAGCTTCTGAACAGCCAAAGAAATAGTCATGAAAGTAAACAGACAACCTACAGAATGGGAGAAAATTTTTGCATCCTATGCATCCGATAAGGGACTGATAACTAGAATATACTTAGAACTCATGAAAATCAGGAAGAAAAAATCAAATAACCCCATTAAAAAGTGGGCAAAGGACTTGAACAGAAACTTTTCTAAAGAAGACAGAAGAATGGCCAACAAACATATGAAGAAATGCTCAACATCTCTAATCATCAGGGAAATGCAAATCAAAACCACAATGAGATATCACTTAACCCCAGTGAGAATGGCCTTTATCAAAAAATCTCTAAACAATAAATGCTGGCGTGGTTGTGGAGAGAGAGGAACACTCCTACACTGCTGGTGGGACTGCAAACTAGTTCAACCTCTGTGGAAAGCAATATGGAGATACCTTAAAGCGATACAAGTGAATCTACCATTTGATCCAGCAATCCCATTGCTGGGCATCTACCCAAATGATCCAATGACACTCTACAAAAAAGACACCTGCACTCGAATATTTATAGCAGCACAATTCATAATTGCAAGGCTGTGGAAACAGCCCAAGTGCCCATCCATCCAAGAATGGATTAATAAAATGTGGTATATGTATACCATGGAGCACTATTCAGCTCTAAGAAACAGTGGTGATATAGCACATCTTATATTTTCCTGGTTAGAGCTGGAACCCATACTACTAAGTGAAGTATCCCAAGAATGGAAAAACAAGCACCAGATATATTCTCCAGCAAACTGGTATTAACTGAGTAGCACCTAAGTGGACACATAGGTACTACAGTAATAGGGTATTGGGCAGGTGGGAGGGGGGAGGGGAGCGGGTATATACATACATAATGAGTGAGATGTGCACCATCTGGGGGATGGTCATGATGGAGACTCAGACTTTTGGGGGGAGGGGGGTAAATGGGCATTTATTGAAACCTTAAAATCTGTACCCCCATAATATGCCGAAATAAAAAAAAAATCTTTGCAATCCAGTGGGAAGTGTAATACCATGGTTAAAGGATATGTAAGGGTTACGGAGTAAGATAGACTAGGAAGTTTTGCTACTTACTGGCTGAGCCTCTTGTTCTTCATCTCTAAAGTGAAGATAATAATACTTACTTTCTAAAACCATTTTGGCTGTTAGAATTAATACAGTACAAGCAAAACCCCTAGCACAATGCCTGATATGTGGCGAATGCTTCCTAAGTGGAAACTACTATTAATATGTACATTTTTATTTTGTATATTTATATAACTCATAAACTATGGTATTTATTTCAGGTCAGTGAATAGACATTTAGATTATAGCCACTCATAGTGTCAGTCCACAAATATTGGTTGATTAATAACTTGTATGTACTAGACACTGTGCTAGACCTGAGGGAAAATGATGTGCCAGAGAGATATCCTTAAAGAAGAAATGGTGGGGCTGGGCATGGTGGCTCACACCTATAATCCTAGCCCTCTGGGAGCCTGAGGCAGGAAGATCACTTGAGGCCAGGAGTTTGAGGCCAGCCTGAGCAAGAGGGAGACCTCATCTCTATAAAAAAAAGAAAAAAGGAAATAAAATTTAGCCAAGCATGGTGGCACATGCCTGTAGTTCCAGCTATTTGGGAGGCTGAGGCAGAAGGATCTCTTGAGCCCAGGAGTTTGAGGTTGCTGTGAGCTATGATGATACCACTGCCCTCACACCCAGGCAACAGAGACCCTGTCTCCAAAAAAAAGAAGAAAAAAAGGAAATAGTGGGTCCCTGGAGGAGTATGGTGCGAGAGAAAAAGTAAACAAATGGAATTTCAGTAAATTACATTATAGCTTCATTGCTTGTTAATTCCTATCAGGCTTGGTAGCTGCTTTGGCCCATCTCACTGTAGCTGTCAGTTCAGAAGACCAGGCTTTGGTATCTGTGAATTTCATGTACACATGCTTTGCTTTGAAGTTGTACAGACCTTTGCCCTTTATTTACATAGCTCCTCCATCGAAGCATCTCAAGCACTTAAAATTGGCTCAGAAACCTAGTGTGAAACTTCCTAGCTGAGAAGAGAAACTAAAAATGTACTCTACCTGCTAGAGTGTTGACATAGTGGAAGATAAAGAAGCACGAGAAAACTAACCTCCATTTTCAAAGATACCCTGTGATGTCCTGTCCTTTATTTTCCCTTGCCTGGGTATAGTTTCTTCCTAATTGGCTTTGCATCTGATAAGATGAGCATTGAACATTTGCAGTATGTTTCTCGTCTGTTGCCAATTACAAACTACTGATCTTCAGCGGGGCCTGCCATCTTTGCATTCAGCACCAGCCTTCCCCCATTCTATTTGGATCTACTGGCTTAGTACCAGGCATGGAAACATACGAAGAAGTAAAGGAGAATAAATAATTCTGTTTAGTTTTCTTGGAGCAGAAAGTGTTTTGGAGGAATGAGTACCCCAGAGGTCCCCCATTTCCTTTACCTTTGTGAAAGGAACACCCTATGCTTTAAATAATGATTCATGTGGTATGCACCATATCCAAAGAGTAAACGCAGAGATGAAAGCTTCTATTTATTCTGTACAGTGAAAATAGAAATCTGGAAACAGCATCTGCTTCTCATTTAAATGTATTTTTTTCTAATTATTTAGATGTATAGAGGCATGAAGCCAGGTTTCAATCAACAAGAAAGGTCTTGTGCTATCTAAACAAAATCTCATGCCTGAAGCCACTGGTCATAACACTTAGAATGGCTTAAAGCCCTCAGCATGATTTTTAATGCAAAGTAGTTGTAAAGCCTGGGTCATGAACAAAGATATTATTTTAGTTTTTAAGATCAAGTCTGAATATATACAGAAATATTGCTAGAAATATATATTTCCTGATAACCTAAAGATACCAGGTAATTAA